AGAATTTTAGGGTTCACTCTATATTTAAGGAACATATCTCATAACCTAGGGTATCTTCTTCAGCCTCCCTTCATTTCCAACGAAACCCTAGCCCTATCCTTGGGTTCTTGAGAATTTAGTGATGTATTGGAGACTTGAAGGTGAAGGAATCGTCTTTGGAGCATAGAAGTAGCTTTCAAGCCTCAATGCCATCCTCAAGTAACCATATGGACCTTTAAGAGCATTCACGCTTCAAGCTTTGTGGTTCCTTGTCGCTATATCTAGAGTTTTATGCATTATGGTTCATGAGTGTTGGGACTCCATAAAGTTGGCAAATTTATGGGTCCTTAGAGTCCTTTGGTGACTATATGTGGTAAATCTGAAGTTTGGGTGATGTTTGAGCTCATGCTTGAGGTTTTGACCTCCTTTTCTTTATAAATGCCCTAACGTGAGCTCAAGTCTTGCATTGGACATGCAAGATATTAAAGCATCAATTTTTATGGTTTTTGTGATGTTATGAAGTCTTCTAGAGGAGGTGGATTAGTAGCTTAATGGATTAAGGGGTTTAATTTATCAAGATGTTATTTAGACAGGTTTCGCGACATCAGAGTATGGTTTTCACGTTGTGAGGATCGAAGGACAGAGACTATTTTGTCTTTTATTGGGTCACGACGTGACCAATAGATTGTCACGTCGTGAAGGGCAGATGACTTGTTGACCTTTGACTTTTGTTGACCATTGACCATTGACTTTTGACCAGATTGACTTTGAGTCAAACTTGAAGGATTTTGGGCTGTTGATTAAGATTCTTCCATGTTTGGGTACTAAAGGGATCAAGGGAGCAAGCAGTATATAAAGGGATCGCATCACAGTGTTTCTGGATTCATCGATTCAGGTGAGTTTTTCCTTACTCCACCCGTAGGTCAAAGGAACTAATGTCGGCCCACTAGATTTGGTTATGTATCCTTGTGTATAGGATATTGTTGCGTTGTAGTGAGTTGTTAGATATATTTATATTGTTATTTGTTAGGATGCAACAATAGTGGCATGTTAGTTAGAGTACGAGTAGATTGGTTATCATCTAGTGGTATGCCTAGGGTTGTATGTAACCGTGTAGGATAGCCTGAGAGCTCTTGATCTTGGCTTTCTTGCATGCTCCTCGTGTGGTTGTGGCTCTAGAGTAGAATCATCTATTTGGGTGGCTATCTCATCTTTAATTACTTATGGCTATGTATTCCATGGAGATTTGTTGGTAATAGAGCAGTGTGTTGTGATGGGTCTAGTAGGCAGTAGTGAGTTGTATGATTGGTAGTTGCATGTATCTATGTGCCTACTTGATTTCTTGATTGTTTATATGTCGACATATTGTAGTAGTTGGGTTGAGGCAGCAGGTCAACAAACCCAAGGAGCGGTTGGATTGAGGCTGTAGGCCAACAATTTTGGAAAGTGCTTGGATTGAGGCAGTAGGTCAACAAACCCGGGGAGCGTTTGGGTTGAGGGAGCATGCCAACAAACCCAGTAGTCATGTTGTATATATGTTTTTGCTATGTGGGGTATTTTGGGGGAAGTCACTAAGATTCGTGCTTACCCAGTTGTTATTGTTTTTCAGGTATCATCGGTTATCGAAAGAAGGTAAAGGCATGACTATACACATTCATCGACAGCAATGAAGATTCTACGTTTTACTTTAATACTCTGATTTTAAACAATGTACCTTGGAAAAATGGTTTTTTTAACTTGTATTCTAAAAATAAGTAGTTTTGCCTTAATTAAAAATGAAAATTTTGATGTGAAAATGAGACGTTTCAATATGATCTTGTTTGGATTTTGATTATTGAGAAGCTTTGATCTACCTCATATTATTTATCCACTTGTGAAGTTTATGGGATCGGTCATATATGACAATGTTAAAAGCTTAGGAGACTTATGAGCTTTGGATATTTAAAAGACCTTTGGTTTGTAATATTCTCTCAAACCCTTGTTTTGATATATTTTGTAGCACTCCCGCATGAATTGTTGTATTAAACTACAAAATGTTTTGGAAATTTTTAATTGGAACCGTTATCTGCATTTGAACTCTGTAAAATATATTGAATTCAACTTTAGAAATCGTTTTTCTACAAACTAAAACTCTAAAAGTATTTTGAAATTTTTTATTAAAAACTAATATAAGAGGTGTTACATTCACAAACATGTCACATCTAACAAAATACATCTTTAGTACAAATATTATCAAAATGTTTAGCATATAAGGTGGTAACTTTTTCTAACTACTCATTTTTACAAATTAGTTTTTTTACAAACTTTTTTTTCCAACTTTTTTTGAATATTCGTTTGCATGCAGGTAAGATGGTATAAAATATTTAAAAACACTTTTTCTATATTCGATTTCACAAATAGGTACACAAAATTAAATTATAAAAGAAGTTAAAGACAAAAAGTTTTCAAAAAATATATGTTTATTAAAAAAATTTGTAGAAAACGTTAAGGCTAGGAAGTACCACCTTTGTCACACTAAATTTTCTGTCACATAACATCACCTTTGTCACTAGGGATGAGCATCGGAACCGGGTACCCACTTTTGGAACCGGAATCGCCTCGGAACTGCCGGTTTTGGAAATGGAACCGCCTTAGGCGGTTCCGGTTCCGGTTCCTAAAGTTATGGAACCGCCTTAAGCGGTTCCGGTTTCGATTTTTGTTTTTTCAGAACCGCTACCCGCTGGGTACCCGCCGGAACCGGTTTATATATATATATATATATATATATATATATATATATATATATATATATATATATATATATATATAATTTCATATAAATGTGTGTTACTTAGACCGGTTTAGAATCTATTGGTCTGATTTTGTCTGTCTTTGGTCCGAACTGATTTGATTTAGATCGAACTAAATTGCGGTTTTGTCGAAAAAAGTTAACAAAACTAATGCGACAGGGTTATCCGCTCCCGGAACCGGAACCGCCGGTTTCGGGACTGGTTCCAAACATTTAAGAACTGCCTAGAGCGGTTCCAGTTCCGGTTCTAACTTTCTAGGAACCGCCGGTTCCGGTTCCGGTTCCGGTTCTCGCCAAATGAGACGGGTACCCGCCTACGCTCATCCCTATTTGTCACCACTCTTCAATATCTTTTCATTTATTGGGGAGGGTGCCACTGAAAAACTAAGGGTGCGTTTAGTTGCGGAAAAATTGGCCGTTTTCCGGAAAAAATTTCCAAAAAAAATGAGAATTTTGAAAACACGTTTAGTTCGTATATTTTTCTAAATTTTTCACAGAAAATGAAAATTTTCCGTTTTCTAAAATTACAAAGAGGTTGGAAATATTTGGAAAACTGATAATTATTGTTTTCCACATTTTTCTAATTCCAAAATTTTTTTTAAATATAAACATACACCCACTCCCACCCCATCCACCTCTACCTACCCCCACCTTAACACCCTCCACCCACACACACATACATACACACCCCCACACACACACATACATACCCACCCCCACCCACACACATACACACAAATACATACATACCGACACCCCCACAAACACACACCCACACACACACAAACTCACACCTACCCCCACCCTCACACACACACACACACACACAAACCCACACCTACCCCCACAAACACACACATACACACACAAACACACACTCGCACCCCCACTCACCCAATACCACCACCACAATCACCGACCTACCATCACTATCACCACCACCACCACCACCACTAACCCGTCACTAGCACCACCACCACCGCTGCCGCCGCCATCACCACCACTGACACAATTGTTGCCGCCACCACCATCGCCTGTCATCACCACCACCGCCGCCGACCCGCTACCGTCACCACCCCCACCCACACCCTACCATTGCTACCGTTTTCTTAAAATGAAAACCGATAGAAAAATACACATCTAAACACGTTTTCTAATTTTCTAAAACTGAAAATGAAAAATGAATAAGTTTAACTAAACGCGTTTTCAAAAAATTTCAATGAAAAATGAAAACGGGAAATGAAAATCGAAAAGGGAAAACAAAAAATGGAAAATGAAAATTGTTTTTCCGTAACTAAACGCAACCTAAGTGTCTTTCTTTTTCTCTTGGGTTCCGGTTGAGGTTGATCGTCATTGGGATCGAAATTCGTTTCGGGTATGAAATGAGATTGGTGTTGGCATTAAAATTGTGTTTGAGATTGGAATTAAAATGGGGGTTGGGATTAGAATTTGAATTAAGTTTCTTGAATGGTCTTAAATGGGTTGAAATTATATTGGGATTGACTTGGATATTAAATGTACTAGTATGGACGACACGAGCATGACTAAAAGTGGGGATGAAAAACTAGGGCAGTCCATTTGAAGTTGGTAGAAAATGGGTGACCAAAGGTTTTGAAGTGGTTTGTATTTTGGGTTTTTTTTTTTCTTGTTTCTAGGGGTTTTGGGTTGAAGGTTGAATTGGAGGGAGCCATTTTCACCAAAATAAGAAAATTGTTTGAAAGAAATATGAAGAAATTGATTGTTGTGGTGTGATGTAAAATTGGATAGAGGTTGGTATTTATATTGGTTGAAAGAGGTTAAAATTTTGAAGTTTTAAAAAGTGGATTAAAAAATCATTGGTTTTGAAATTTTAATATACTCACATATGTTAGTCGCTATTGAGTACGATTCCAATGTTAGGGCACAGTGAATGGTGATGCCACTTCAGCTTCTACCAAGGTTATCAAGTGACTCCATACAGCCTAAGAGATAAATTTAGAACTTTAATGATCCATTTTTTTTTTTTTTTTTGAAATGATAAATCTAATCTATTCCTAAACAACATCTTAAATACATCTATATTCACAATGGAATTTGAACCCTCAACCTCAAAGAATGAGGGTAACACCAGGTACCGCTGAGCTAGAAGCCTTTTGGTACGTTTGAAATAGATTGTTAGCCAAATTTGGCGTTAATCTATTTTTATTTATATATTTAGTTATTCTTTATATAAATTTATACTAGTATTTATTAGCTAGTTTTTAACATTTTTACAGCTAAAACTAGATTTTAAACTAAAGTCTAAAACCTAGTTTTTCAATACGCTTTAGAATTGTACCAGAGAAATCTGAAATTTGAAATTTTTAAAAAGATCGACAGGCACAGGGTATTTTATAAACAAACCCATCCCCTCTCATTGGCTCTCTATGATCCTAATTTTTATCCAATTATCCAACACTTAATTGCATTCACATACACGTTCACCTTTCAAATTATCCCTAACATAATACACCTACGCTACTAGACTACTAGACTCTACTAGCGCTTAGAAATCAACACCAGAATCACCATCGACATCGATACAGCAATCTTAAACCCTGGCATCTCCCAGAAGTTCTGGTTCTGGTTTTCCCCGTTTCCACCATTCTTTGTTGCTGCCAATTCATCTCTCACTTCTTTCAACGCTTTGTCTCGCCTCTCTCCCATCTGCAAAATCATCATACTTCCGTTAAAACCATTAAACTTTGACAGATTTTTCGATTACTACTGTAGAAAAACTCAAAAAAAAGTGTCAAATTAACGTTGGTGACTTTCATGGTTAATTTTGATTTAAGGTAGTAGTTAAACCACAAAAATAGCCAAAATATGAACCAAAGTAAAAGACACAAAGAAAAAAAAAATAAGGTTGCATAAATAATTCTTGCCCAAAACAACAAAACTAGAATTACCCGTTGGAGCTTCCGGGTTTGAGCCCGAGCTTCATGAAGACAAAACTCAAGTTTTAAAACTCTTTTCTTCAACTCCTGATCTGCTCTACGATGTTTCTCCAACTGTCACATACAAGATTTCAACTTATTAATTACAATCGAAAATTAATAAACATTTTCTTATCAAACAGAAATCTCTTAAAGTGTTTAATTTCTTTCAACTTAATCACATAAGCTATATATCAGTTCTTTTTAGGTCAAAAAACACATCTTAATGGAGAAAGTCACATAAATGGGACTTCCCCCTTTTAAGTCCTACTTGCAAATTTGCCCTTATTTAACTTTTCTTTCTATTTTCCATATGTACAACATCTTATATATATTTTAAACATCATCTATTCACAAAGAATATATAGACATACTTGGGACTCAAGATCCTTGGTTTTGAGTTTCCAATGAGCTGACATAACCCGGAGTTCATCTCTCAACTTGGTTATTTCTTCATCTTTGGCTGATAACAATTTCATCATCTTGTCAAGATTTCGAGGTGAAACCTCATCAAGGATCTTCCTCAATTCGCAATCATTATTTGCTCCAGCTTTTGCTAAAGCTTGCATGATGTCATGTTCAACTCGCATGACTTCATCTTTCAATTGTTTTTGTGAAGATTCTCGGGATTCAAGATCCTTCTGCAAAAGATCTAGTTGATGCGCCAATTGATTAACTCGAGCTTCATGCTCTTTCAACGACTTGTTCTTCTGATCCAGTTCCTTTAACAGAGCCATGCATTGAAGCTGTGCAGATTGAGCAGAAATGGCGCTTGCATCCGCTGTTGCTTTTGTGGATGAAAGTTGTGATGTAAGATGATCCAAGTCCCGCTGATACTGTAAGATCAGATACAACCTCATTACGTGTTGTCTGAATAAATTGTTAGCATCCAACATAGTGACGACACAGTTACACGAAAGCAGATTTGTAAATAATCGAGTTCACGACATAATTCATCTTCGAATTCGTCAAAGTGATTATTTGTTAAAAAATATAAAATAGGGTTTCCCGATCTTGTTTTGAAAAAGGATTGCAAATAATCAAATACGCGAGTTTGGAAATTTGAAGGGTCTGATTGAAAAAGGAAAAGAATTGTTGTGGCAAAAGTTGAGGAAAGCAAAGTACGGGTCATAAAAAAAAACCGGCTGCCAAGTTTTTGATGTCGGTGAGAGGGGTAGAAGAGGAATTTAACAAAATAAGGACTGAAATTGTAAATCTCAAGTGTAAAAAATATACAGAAATTCTAAATGCCTTTTTGATTTTTTCGCCATGTGTATACTAAAAGTAAGTTCATATGCGATTTAGGGTTTCACGTAGAAGATGTAAATGTTTTCTTTCATTTTTTTAAACAATAGTAGGTTTATGTGTTCATGTTCATAGTAAACTTGTACTTTTTTCCAATGATATTAAAGTATAGTGTTTTTGTTTATAATCTTTGTGTGGAAATGTTGAAGTAATAATCATATTACAAAAGTTTTTATTATTACAACATAAAGAATCTCGTATAGTAACATCTAGATTTGAGCAACTCTCGAAATGCATCATTTATTATGAAAAACCAGATCTAGATTTGCCCATTATTGATCCAATCTAAAAGGAACCAAAAGTGGAACATATGGACAAAATGGGTATTTCATATACAAGTTTGGTCTAAATATTATATCATTCAATTTGAGTTGGGTGTCTCCATGTTATTCAAAATTTGCTAAAGACAAACTTTTTCAACCCTAAAGTGAAACAAGAATATTCTAACACAAAAAGGATTTATAAACTATTCCTATTCTAAATCCACCAAAAAGCCAAAGGGAAACAGACGAAAGGCAGCTTACAAAGATTTGTTTTTGATATAAACATATTGGAATAAATCTTAGATCAAACAAATTCAAATCAAGCCAAGCAAATCTATATGATTATAATCAAGAAAGTCAAACCTTTTCAGCATCGGATGATGATGCTTGAAGCTGCAGATTTCGATCATCTAAACTCTTCTGCAATCGACAAATCTCTTCTTCCATGTTCTTAGCTCTTATTTCTGCTTCCTGTAACAACATATAATCATTAAAGCCGGAAAATTGTTAAGATCTATGAATATTCAATCGCCCTATACAATAAAACAACAGCTAGAATTCCTTTTGACTTAAGTTGTCGAATCAAAAACGAAGAACGCGTACCTGTCTAGTTAAAGATTCTTTAGCAAATGACTCTTCTTGGGATGATAGACGACTGCGGACATCCTTGAGCTCGGCGGCGAGTGAAACCACGTTCCGGCGAAAATTCAGTTTCTTCTCATCCAGATCCCTCAGTAACGGATCAATCTCCTTCGTTGAAGTCTTGCTTGACATCTTTCAGTTGTCCTCGAAGATTAATTGACAATGAAACATCAAGATTCAAACTCAGAAACGGACGATCTTTCAAATCTTTCGTGGGTAGAAATACGTCCACAAATCTTCGTCAAGCATGTGAACAAACGATATAACTCGTGACTACTTTATTTTAAAATGAAGTCAAAGAAAGAGCGAAATACGAACAATGACTCAACTGTAACTTGCGTGTATCCTGTGAGAAATTAATTACAGATAGAGAGAGATGAAGGTGTTAGATGTATGAAATTAATTAATTATATAAAAGTCGAAGTTTGAAACTGAATGAAGTGAGAGAAACGATTGATATAAAAATAATTCAAATGAACCTGTCAATTTGACAAAGATGTCGATGAGTAAACAAAACTAATCCGAACCGCACATTTAGCATCCTAAAACAATTTTAATTAAAATAAATGAAAACATGAAACTCGTTCCTTCTTCCTAACACTCACATCCCCAGATGTGTGATTCATTGAAAGAGAGTTTCTGAAGCAATTAATACTCCCGACCCACAAGATTAATATTTGTGATTTGAATGGTGGGTCGAGCTTGAAACTATTAGAAATGAAAACTTATAACAGCGATTAAACTAAAGAATGAAAAGTTCATTAAGATGAAAGTGAAATCATTTTGGCAAATTTGATTTGGGAAAAAATAACACGAATCACCTTAAATCAGAAGACCCATACGAAAACGACCCTTGGAGACGACAGAATCTAAAACATACGAAGAATCTTCATAGTGAGAAGTAGGAAGGTTTTAGGAAGGAGATATGTGGAAAGTTGAACAAGATGCGACGATGTAAACACCTGTAAACGAGCAAAAATGTTAAAGAGGGAGAAGGGTAGGGAAGAAGGTAGGTTCGGATTTGTGGGTTAATGTTAGAGAATGGTTTGGTAATAAATGCCAAAAACCGAGCCTATTGGTCATTAGGTTGGGTTGACTGTGAGCGCGCGGCAAAATCAAATTTTTGGGGTCATGCTTTCCACCTAAGCGTTGGCATCTTCTGGCACACAAAACTTGTGTCTCTTCTTTTTCCCTAGAAATACACAATGAATTCCATAATTCAAGGACGATTTCCATTTTTAATTTTATTAAATTATTGTTTTTTTTTAAGTGACTTGTTTTTATACAGCATAATTTTGTAGTAATATTCGTAAAAAAAATAAGGGTTAGGGGTTGTTTTAGATATTTGGTTGACTCGGTTCATATCAAGAGTGATTAATTCAAATAGAGTTAAATGCTTTTGCCCATTCGGTTAACCATTTTTCTCTGATTTGGTCTATTAATGAAGTTGACCGGAAAAGTAGACAACATTTGACTACTTGACCAAATAATTGTTATATATATATATATATATATATATATATATATATATATATATATATATATATATATATATATATAGAGGTTGAGGTTCATTTGAAACCATTCTAATTTTGTGAGACCGTGAAACCAAATCTAAAAATAATTTTAAAATGCAAAATAAATAGAAAATTCCAAAAAAAAAAAAATTAAATATTATTTTCGGAACTTGAATTAACTAAAAAATATATATATAAATATAAAAAAAAATTTTAAAAAATAAAAAAAAAATCCGTTATTTTTTTTTTTTGAAAAATACGTGAAATATTCTAAATAGAATATTACACTGACATATTCTAAAAAATAATTTTAAAATGCAAAATAAATGGAAAAAATACGTGAAATATCTATTTTTACGTGAAAAATACTTGAATTAACTAAAAAAAATTAAAAAAAATCTATTTTTTTTAAAAAAATACGTGAAATATTCTAAATAGAATATTACACTGTACATATTCTAAAAATAATTTTAAAATGGAAAAATCAAAAAATTCTTTTTTTAAATATTATTTTCGGAACATGAATTAACTAAAAAAAATAAAAATAATAAAAATAATAAAAATAATAAAAAAATGCGTCTCACGGTCTCACAAAATATAGGTGGTCTCAAATGAACCTAACCATATATATATATATATATATATATATATATATATATATATATATATATATATATATATATATATATATATATATATATATATATATATATATATAATATCTTGGATTCGATAGAAAAAATACAGAAGCTCTAACTTTTTAATGAACTTTGACTTTTAAATCCTACTCTGATAACCTCGGTAGCAAATAAACGATAAAACATCCACTTTCTTTTTGCTAATTTTTGGTAAATCATATTATGATTTAAACGACATTTTGTCATTTGTAACCATAATATAGGTTTGCCAATCACCAACATTACGGTTTACACTTACCAAAAAAAGCTCTCTAGGGAGGCGGGCGGCCGCAGTGCAAACAAAGGAGATTGGATAGAGGTTCACCGGAGAAAGAATTTGATCCACTTAATGGGTGCAAACGCAATTGTAACTTCATACTATGTATCGAATCGACCAAATAATGTAAGCAAGAATAAGATAAGGAACTCATTTCAAGTGTTCAGAAATGTGGTAGACATCTATATCGACGGCAAAAGAGATAGACCGTACTCAATCTGTAACAGTTCGGATTCCCAGGTATTATTCATTCTTATATTTTTGGTATTTTGTGAGGAGACTCGGCGAGTTGGAGCTAAAACTCGCCGAGTAGGATCGCGATTTGGACGAGAGTTCGCGTCTGGACTCAACGAGTCCACATTGTTTAATGAAACCCTAATTCTCCGGGTTTGGAGCCTATTTAAGGGCACTTATAGCCTCCCATTGCGGCTACCAGTCCCTTGAGAGAACCCTAAGAGAGCTAATTCGTTTTGGGAGAGAGGAAGTCACTTTTAAGCCTTTTTATTCTTTGTCTAGCAAGAGGAAGGTGGCAAGAGCAAGGAGGAGGTGAGATTCCAGCAGATCCAGAGTCCAGAGGCTTCATTTTGAGGTAATGGTTCGAATCTCCTTCAGTTTATAGGGTTGATCTTTAGAGTTAGGGTTTTATAACCCCTTTGGAGAGTGATTATGTGAAGCAAATGGTCCCTCTTCGAGTTTGTGCCTTGGATCTGGACTCAAAGAGGTCCAGAGACCTTAACCATTGGAGCTTTTTGGGTTATTATGGAGTCATTGGACCTAGGTGGTTATTTTTGGGACCAAATCACCTTTTGATGCCTTATGGGGGTTATACAAGCATCAAGTTCTGAACTTTACGTAACATTCATGCTTGGGAAGCCCAGATCCATGGTTTGGGAAAGTAGATCTGACCTCAGAAGGTCAATAAAAGTGTGTGCATGGCATGAACTCACCTAGTTGTTCTTGGGACTCGGCGAGTAGGGTTGGGGTTTCACGTAAAGTGTTCAGTGAGTGGACTCGCCGGGTTGGGGGATAACCCAGTGAGTCAGGGAGAGTCAATATGGGGTTGAGTCAAGCTGGAACTCGCCGAGTTGTTCTTGAGACTCTGCGAGTTGAGTCGTGGTTGCCCTGTGATTCATGCCAGGTGGAACTCGTCGAGTTAGGGGAGTGCTCGACGTGCTAAGAAAAGATCCGAGGGAGTCAGTGTGCACTCGCCGAGTCCGGTCAAAGTTGACCGTTGACCAGAGTTGACCAGTGTTGACTTGATAGGGTTAGTCAAACTTAGTTGTAAAAGTGTTAATTAGAGATATATTGTATTATAGGAAGATTATAGTTCGAGGGATCGAGCACGAGTGATTCCAGGGATTTGCGAGTTATCGAGATACACGAGGTGAGTCTTCTCACTATACTTTACCTTGAGTAGGTAATTAGAGTTATGTGATACAGTGCTTGTATGCTATATATGTGTTATGTGTTGCAATGCATTATTCAATGTGATTTATGTTGTGCATGTTTACAGAGTTAGAACCTGAGGGTTCACAGAGTTTTGGTGCACGGACCCACAGAGTTATAGCCTCGAGTGGCTAATATGTGTTATATGTGGTATTTTGGGGAACTCACTAAGCTTTGTGCTTACAGTGTTTGGTGTTATTTGTTTTAGGTACTAGTGACGACCGTGGGAAGGTGCCGGCTTGATCAGTACACACACTCGGGATTTTATGTTAAGAGATCTTGGGATTTTTGTATGAAATGAATTGTATTTCAAACATGGGTGTTTTTACGAATATTAAATGAATTATGTTTTTTATAAAATGCGAAAAATTGTTTTGAAATTTACGGTGTTACACAATCTTTGTCTTTGTCGGATTCGAAGGTGTAAGAGACACAAACTGTTGGGTACTTGGTGTTGTGTCTTGGGCTCGCTTCCTAGCCCGTCTTTTATGCGGTATGGGCCTGTCCATCCGTATCTTATTTGCATGCATCTTTTTAGGAACTGATAGATCAGGGTTTTTACGTGTAACTGAAGAAGATATCTTTTTGTAACCCTAGAATCCTCTACAGCGGAAGTTCTTTATCGAGCTCTGCTGAGGATTGAAAGTTCTAATCATTCAACACATTCAAATCCATTCTTGAGTATTGTTTCATTGCTTTACATTCTTTATATACCTGTTACAAAGATCTAATCGATCAAAGATATTTTATATCTCATCAATTGGTATCAGAGCAGGAGGCTGTGTAATTCATACACATCTCTTCTGTGAAAGAAGCTATTAGGGTTTATTCCGCATTAACTAATATTTATTGAGCCGTCACCCCATAATTGACGTATCTCATTATTTGTTCGTTTTGCCCTAATATTATATATTACAAGTCTGATCTTTCAAACAGGTTATCCGATCAAGCATGGACGAGTCGCCATCCAATCCCATTAATATTTCGAACAACATTGGATCAACAACGAAGATTCCCATCCTTTACACCCAAGATTATGAAGTCTGGGCACATCACTTTGAAGATTATGTTATAAGATCGGAGGACAATGGATACCTCATCTGGGAAGCAATCGTATCAGGACCCTTCGCTCATTCTGCAACCTCAAGGATTATTAAAACTCAAAAGGATTATAATGATCTTTTGAAAGATGTTAAAGATGTTGCACAAGACGAAAAAGATAAATTTCAGTGCAATATCAAAGCATTGAGATTAATCAGATCCGCTCTTCAATCTGACACTTTCAGGCTGGTGAGTTCATGTATACTGCCAAAGAAATATGGGACAGGCTTCGAGAATTGTATTCTACGGACGAAGATCTTGAACACTCCATTCAAACCTTACTCTTGTCCGAGTTTGGTGAATTTGATCGCTTCAATCATCTTCTAAGCAAGATGATTAAACATGATATTGAAAGGAAGCTAATTGAGCAGAAGGTTACGTTTTTGAACGGCCTCAGATCTGAGTGGAGAGCTGTAGTGTCCATAGTTAAAGCGCATGAGCAATTCAAATCTTATTCTCTGGCGAAACTGGTAGGCATTCTGAAATCTCAAGAAAAGATCGTACTACAGGAGAAAAATGTAGTTTCAAGCCTGGGTTCATTGGCCCTCCTATCCAAAAGTAAAGCGGTTATGGAAGATGAAGACCTCAACATGGAGGACTATGACCTTACTTTTGAAGACTATGCTATGATGGTATCAAACCCCAAGAGGTTCATCAAGAAAAGATTTCCCACCAATAAGAACCGGAATTGGCAGGGAAGTTATAGTTCTGAAAAGGTCAAAGACGAACCGAAGGCAGAAGAATCAAAGAAGGAACCGAAAGCTGAAGGAGATTCGGGAGTGAGCTGCTATTACTGTGGAGGAAAGAACCACTATGCAAAAGATTGTGTCCTCAAGAAAATGGCAGAAAATGATGAGGAGAAAGATGAAGAAGCTTTGTTGCTGAAAAAGCTGGATGAGATCAGGAAGAAGAAATCTACTGCTAACCCTTCTATGAATGATTTAATTGTGCAGGGTTCGATAGCAAATGATGAATTCGGGGGAGTGGAGGTCTGGTAAACCGACTCCGAGGATGATGAAGTAAGGAGGCCTTCTAATGGAAAAGATTTTGTGGCGAAAGAGAAGGATAGCAGTGGAAAATGCTTGATGGTGTCTGACGTATCTCAGATGAAGGAGCAACAGGACATGTGCTTTACAGCAAAACCGCTCAGCATGCAATT